TTCTCAGGGCAGTTGTTTCATGGCCATCTGCTTGTGCCTCACGAATAACTCCTGTAGCTGGTGACACAGTAGAGAATAACTTAGAAAATCAAGACTTTCCCCATTTTTTGAGGAAAGTCTTGTATACCCACAGATAACAAGAGAATTCTGAAGTAACTGCTCTTCTGTTTATAAAAAGACACACAGTAATACAGTGAGCAAAGTGCCCAGGGGATGCAGATGTGTGATTAACTTTAAGGGTAGGTTTCTGGGTAAAATAATGCAATCCTAGTAAATTTTCTTTTGCAGGCAATGTCTCTTTAAACCTCAGCTGGTGTTATTACTGCAGACTAAAGTATGAAAAATGCTTTTGATTCATTATTTTGTGTGTTTGCTGTAAGTTGATTGTTATTATTTTTATTGTAAAACTTTGTTACTTTAGCAGATATTTCTAATACAGCCTTTCTTTTGGGCAAAATAGTTAACATTTTCTATGAAAGATATCTTAGGTAATACTTTTGAAAGAAATGTTGGTGTTCACATTTTTATTTATTGACAAAGGTATATAAAGGTTTACTTTTTTGGCATTTCAAGGATAACCCTATTGGCAACTGGGATGGAAGGTTTGATGGAGTACAACTTTGTAGCTTTGCAAGTGTTGAAAGTACGATTCTTCTGCACATCAATGATATCATTCCAGGTATGTCTCCTTTATGTATTCAGAAGATAGTTTCTAACATGTATTTTGTTATGATAGTGCAAATATATACTAAAGATGGATCTCTTGAAATTGGCTTTATATTGTAGAATTGTCATTATATAGACTAACCTTTCTTTTCTCGTGAACCAAGGCAATAAAGGTTATTTCTAAAAGTATGTAAGTATAGTGAAGTTTATACATTATCTCTTACATTGTCTTCTCCTAGACATTCTAATAGAGAAAGAAATCCTGTCTTGTAATTGGAAGGTTCAAAAATACAAAAAATGCTGTCTCCTGGAGTAAGAGATGAAGCTAGAAGCTTTTAAAAAAAAATGGTTTATCTCATCTAAACTCCACAGAGGATTCAGGATTCTTATTAAATGATGGCTGAAGTTCCTTTTTTTGTTGTTTTTAATTATTTTTTTCATTTATTTTACATCCTGATCTCAGTTTCCCCTCCCTCC